AAAAAGAAAGAATCTCCAAAGATACGGTGAACGTTTGTATTTCTTAGAAAAAAATTATCACAGAGTTGTAGACAATGGCTTGGTAGAGAAAGAGTCCACCCCGAATTAACCGGTTTAATTTTAGAAAAAAATGCCTGGGACGACTCCTTTAATATTCTTTTAAGGCTTAATTCCAGACAACAGAAAACATTTTATGATAAGGATGAAGTACATTAGGGGAAAACAGTCAAAGAGCGCAACCGATTTCACTTGAACATGTTAATTGGCCATTAAGATTGAAGTCAAGCTTTAACTTCTCAGAGAGTGTAGATCGACAGAAGAAGGGCGCGATTATTGAGAACAATAAAATGGCGGTTCAGACTGAAATGTCGTCTTAAAGGGTAATTTCATACATTGTGTAAGTCTTTTTAGCACCTTTCACCATTAACACATTGTGACATGGTGACAGAAACTTGTTTCTAACAACTTACTAGCTGACGACCGATCGTGATGTGACAAACATTAAGACGTCCTGAAAGATGCTATAAAGTTAGATCGGCCATTTTGCTTGTCACCAGACGTCATCACAGTGTGATGGGTGTTCTAGAACCCCATGGCCGATAAAGAAAACTGGTATTTAATTTAAAAGATTTTATTTTTTCTTCAAGCAGCTTTTTCAAAAGAACACATCTAAGAAATGGCTTGTAGCAAATACATTCTCATAGAGTAGGCTATAATTTTTGTTTTAAATAGGTGTTTCGGTTAGATAGCTATTAGAGTTTTGAAATAAGGAATATAAATATGTTATCTTATTTTCAGTAAAATTAAATCTTCTAATATAAAACAAAAGCCGTATTTCTATTTTTGGGGAGAGATCATTAAAAGGGGTATATCTGTCCAGAATTAGGAAATGATATCTGACGAGAGCTGAAATCTAAATAAGCAAACTATTCGACATTGTTGGAGCACATTCTAGAAATTCATGCTACAATTTAAACATAAGTTGCCGGTCAACGAAACGTGGTACCATTGGTAGCTGCAGTGTCCTAGCTAAAGCAATACTTGATTTAATGCTGATGGGACCATCCCGGTATTAACAGAGTCTCAGAAATAAAAGTCCGTGTACGTATGAAATTTAATATATGATGTATTTACCTCGCCTTTCGTTTGGACGTGAACGTCAGCACCGCTTATACGGACACGTAACCCTTTTAAGATCTTGGGTCAATTTTTTCGTTGGGTGACCTGTTAATCTATTGCCGTTCCTTTAGAGGTCTATACAGTGCATGACCCACGAGCTGTACTTAATAACGAAAGGTAAATTTCACCTACACGTTACTTTCATGAAATAGAAGTCTAGTTTTATCCAGACCCCGCATTATACAGCTTGCGACACCCGTTTCCACTTCTAGTGAAGGGATTTAAGTTGTTTCAAAACGTATCATGTAATGAGTTCGTTGCTCGACCCTAAGGTAGAGGATTTTAAGAGCTTTTAACGCAAATTTATGCAGTTTTACTCTCCAAAATATAATCGAGATTGGACTTTTAATGTTGCCCTAAAATGCTTTAAATCAATAACAGTGTATATCATTAGGCCCGTGATCAGGTTTGCGGCAACACGTACCGTAAGTACCCACGCAAAAATATAGTGCATTGGATAAGATTAACCAACTTCGAAACTTATCAGAATGGTCAAAATTTGTATTGAAGATATGGAACAGGTTAAATTAACTTGTGATACAGTCCAAACTGATCAGAATGGTCAAAATTTGTATTGAAGAGATGGAACAGATTAAATTAACTTGTGATACAGTCGTCTTTCTAGCTCATTGGTGAAAGCGGTGCCTATGCCACTGCTATTTCATGATGTAATCAAGGTGTCAGCCAGCCTCCCCCTCCCCCGCACAACTCAACCGCGCACTTGAGGTTTCTTTCACCCCTGCCCGGTATACAAATTATGCTTCCTTTCAGCTATCGTATTTTTGAATAACAGCTTTATTGTTCAATAACATACGTATATCTATAGTCTCCTCCATAATTACAAAATAAATAGTTCAAGCTGACATCGAACCTGGCAACCTCTCCTGAAAGATAATCGGAAATAACTATGAAGGTTGTAATGGCAATCGTTTGTTTTTACGAATTCTTGTATAGAATTACAGATTGCGAAACAACACCACCACTGCCAAGTTCATGAAACAAGGACAGAACAAATGATACAGACAGTACAGACATTTAAATTAGATGCACATTTATTGTGTAGATTAACATCACGCTCTGCCTCAAACTAAAACACAATCTATGTTGCGGGATATTTAGTAGGTTGTCCTCAAGGTAAACCGCTCTGTTACAAGCTCTTTCGCCATATGTTAGTGGCGCCCCCATGTTAAAGTTTCGGGATAACTCTATGAACAATCAATAAAATTTTCATAGGTTTCTTCAAACCAAGATGTGCTATTGAGTAGCGTAATACAGTTGCGGAAAAGGCGAATCTTCTTTAATTGGTCAACTGACCAATCACTCAACCATACAATTAAATAAAAAAGTCACCACAATTAATTAACAAAATTTGTAAGTTTTAAAGCTGACACACTCTTATTTCAATTTACTAACCCAAACCAATCAAATACAACAAAACAACAACAAAACCGCAACAAAAACAAAATCTGAACAAATAACAAAACCCCAACAAAAGAAAAACAAAAACAACAAAACAAACAAAATCCCCCAATAAACCTTTATAGGTAATTATCAACCACGTTAGAAGCTAGGCACGCAAAGCGTGGAAATACACCCACAGCAGCTTATCCGAAATGCAAACTTGTATGCTGGACAAATTTGATGACTACCCTTTATCCTTCAAGAAATCTAATCTTTATCGTGTTCACGGGCTCTTCTGGACAGTAGGTAATATATCTCTGGAACATAAAGTACAAGTAGGCTGAAAATCAACAGGATTCATCCTCTAGGAAGATCCCATTGCTTCTGAACAAAAATCCGTTAAAAAGATAGCGTCTATCGTGTTCACAGTGCTTTCGGAAAAGGGGGCTTAGCTGCGGAATGGAACACTGAATATCGATCAAACTCGTCCTCACATGACCTACATGCTATTCACCAAAGTTGAAATAAATAAAACAATATAGCCTCTATCTTACAGACACGCTTTCTTATACCTGTAGCTCAAAATTGTATGCATACTATGCTAACAGGGTTACAACACTGTTTTACAGACAGAATTAAAACCGTAACAGGATACCATATTATATATTATATTTTAACGAAATTACATATTGAAATGAAAATAATATTAAGATATGCAGTCTTAATGTTACTTTTATTTTAATATGTAATTTCATTAAAAGAAATCGAAGAGGGTTATTAAATGAATAATTATCGAGTGACTCACATCATGGAAGAATAAAAATCCTTGAAGCCCCCATCACACCAAACAAGTTCAAAGAATGTGTAAATAATGTGTATGATACGATCCTAGTTCGTTCATAAACAGTCCTCAATACGTCCATATCGTCTGTACCTCGTCCACAGTTTATAACCCGACCAGTCCGTTCAGTGACAATTTAACCATTATCTTGTTCTTAGTGCGTTCGAAGGCTCTCCTATTGCGTGTACAACCCCTTCCTGGCCTATAAAAACCAACGCGTCTTGCCATTTGTCTGCGATATCACCCAAGATGGAAGCGGGCGTAAAATCCTACGAACGAACGAACGTGCCATTCCACATTCAAGCTGTGATGATCAAGACATTCAAATCTAGTACTACAGTTGCCTCCTGTGTTTTATCATGCCTCCACAGAGAATCCCCAGAAGGACTGCCCGTGGGAATGTAGCCACTAGTACTTTGCTTGATAAAGACCGGAGAACCCTCGTCGAAACATCTCTGAAATAAACGCTTCAAAAATCTTGTAGTCCATATAATTGTGTCATGTGTTAGCCACTAGTACTGCCAGATCAGGCCTTAGTTGCTGAGCCTCCTGGATCCTGTAGATCACCACACTCTGCCTCAGTATAATTGGAGAGCAGCAGAAGCCCCCGAAGAAAACCAGGACTCACATCCATCTCACACCTGAGCAAGAAGACGGCATGGTGGAATGGCTCAATGCCAATGAAGTTCTCTATAACAAACAACTTGAGGCCTGTATAAGGACACGAAAAAAATGAACTGCCCAAGTACAGCTAATTCTTGCTCGACCACGACACATTGTAACACACCCCTAGTAGGATCAAGGTACTCCATTTCCAATTACATTACGGCAATTACGTTCACTCCGTTCGCCCACAGTTTTAACCCGTATGGCAACATTATATAGCGGATTTGTTTTTGTATCTTTTTGCCGTACTTTTATTTTCGTTTTCTTGTTAAATATGGAATTACCCCTTTAGCCCAATGCAAGAAAGTAGCAATTTTCTGTTTATTTCATAATTCATTATTTGTGAGTTGGTTTCTCTGGTCGTCCTGTTTAAATTATCGCTAATCATATACTGTGGTGTTCTGGGGTTTAGTGATGCCCGGGACCAACTCCTTGATTGTATATGCCCCCAAGATTCACGTATCAGACCTAGTACTTAGAATGTGAGAAAGGAGCTGATAGATTTTAAAAACTTCAATTTATCCCCCAACCCCTTCCAGAATGAATGCCTACAGCTCTGCACGCAATTGGTCCGGTCATAAAAATTTATATACTTCCGATAATCTTTTCTAGTGATTGTATTCCACACCTCTCTAACAATAGGGCAGAAGTTCTATTCTCTTTAACAGCATAGTCCACATGGCGATTGAAGTGACCATCCCTTTCATTAGATATGACATTAACGTCGACTTCAACTCTGACCCTTGCTGTTCAAAAGTTAAAAGGCATTCACAGAACTCGTATGGGAGCTTTTCTTAATAATTCTTAAATGGATCGGGGGCCGTTTTAATGGAAGGGGAGAAAGGCGGAGCAGTAGTGACAGACAATGCATCAATTACGTTTCATCCCAAATCAATTCTAGCTGGGGAAACGATTGGTAGCTACACTGATTCTGTGGTCTATTCTCACGAGCCACGTGAAATCGCCAGCACGCGCTTCGTTATCAACGGTTCCCGCTATAGTGGTTATGTTTAACAAGCAATAGTACTAATAGAGCTTACTGCTAGTTCTGTATGTGTTCACGCGTGTTGTTACAGCCAAACTATATGATTCATTAAAAGGGAATAAGTTACCAGCCCCAGGGAGCCACACGGGGGTATAATACTTATCAAACATTAGTGACAGACAACCATCTGTGCATATCATTGAAAAGCAATTTGAAATTCAGTATGTCATAATTTGGTACTAATGTAATCATTAGTTATTATGATAACTGTGTTGTTATAGGTCATAAATTTGTGACAATGGTCACTTCAGACAAAATGTTTTACCCGTGCAAAATGTTGGATATATTGTTAACCCTGCTGTTAATATGGGACTTAGGTAAGCCTCTACTTTCTTTCTTTTTTATAATTAAAAATTGTAAAGTGTTAACTAGATATCCGCCTTCAAAATTCGATTGTAAAACAGACATTTGTAGCACTGGGACATGGTGGGGGTCTGGATGGTTATCTTCCCCGGGCGCAAGAAAATAATTGTATTTCAGCATATCTTTAGGGTGGATTTTGGTGTATACAAGTGTGATTGCTACCTAAATATATTACTTCCCTTCTCTTAAATAGGAGCTACGGTGACTAAGTGAGTAAGCCCTGGGGTCGCGGGTTTTATCCCAGTGTTGGCCGAGAAAGTTATTCAGGATTTTCCGCATGGTTTCCGCTTGTCAGTAGTCCAGCACGGAGGGACTGACAAGGACAGCCGTCTAGTCGTTCGGATTGGACGAAAAACCGAGGTCACGTAAAAGATCCCTTGGCATCTGGAATTCGATGTAAAAGTAGGCCGTAGCGCCGCTGTCAGGGCAAAATTTCCCTCATAAAACATGGTATGGCGTATGTCCGTCTTCATTAGCCCAGTCGGAGCAGAACAGTAGGACGTTAAACCCCATTTCATTTCATTTTATTTCATTTCTCAAAAATAGTACACCCGACTATTACAAAGCAGTTAAGTCATTTATTTTCAGCAATTGGGTATTAGCCCCCACTACATGCTTTACTTAGACTTCCCTACTTGAACAGTGGTTTTGATAAGACGTTTTTGTATTCTGCATATATGGACATTTAAGGTATACGTAATAAAAGTATTATTTGCTGATAAATCAATGTATCAATGTATTTTGTCCACATGATATTTACCTATCGTCTAACAATTTTTTTAACAACCAAGTTATACATTACGTGATTACTTATTGACTTATGTTTTACCAATCACGTGATATCAGGGGTTTAAATGATGCAAAGTCTTTAAATTTATTTTCTAAAATAAATATACAGTTTAAAGCAAAAGTAGCTCTATGTTTACAGTAGAGAAATACATATCAAATAAAATTATGTCCCGCTAAAGAACAATCTCCCACTTTTATTCTTTATTCTGATATATCACATCATAAACTAGCTGATTGGCCTTAATGCGACTCTTCAAAAATCTGCCTTTAAGTGCTATTTTTGTATATTGATACCTTTTACCCCTGGGTTAGGATTAGGAACATTTGGCGAACAGATTCTAAAATTTCTCCGACAACGATACACGATACCGTTTCCATACTTCATTTTTGGGTTTTTGAAATGTTGTAAATTTAAATTTGTTTGCAAATTTTAGACAAATGATGATAAATTTGTAATTTTTATCGATAAAAAATCCCTTAAAAAATAATATATGTAAATCGTTTGAGAATTCATAGAATGTCAAATTTTGAATAAACCATCACTTACTTTTTTCTCACCTGTTGATCTGGAAAACTAACAGGATGAAAATATGTATATATATACATTAAAACAAATCAGGCTGTCAGGTGATAGCGTGATATGGAAACATTAAAACATCGTTCTTATAGTGTGACAATGTCAGGAACTGATTCCTGATGGATGGTTACATGCTGTATAAGAAAGGAACCACGCGGATAAAATAAAGCGTTTAATAAAAGTTTTAACATTAAAACAAAAGAATATAAATGCTATTAGAACCTGTACACACGTATTCCCCCTTTGATGCGCCTCATTAAAATTGTCATAATTATTAATAACATGGTGATTTAGGAGACGAACTTTCCAGAATCACTGTTGAGTTGATGAGACGTAACATTTTAATACAACAGAATGATAGAAATTTATTGCTTAGTTTTTAGTTAATAGTTTCTGTAAAACTACTATTTTCAATTAAATAATTAATTGTGGTTCATTAGAAACAGTTATTAATCTGAAACATTTTCGTTATAAATGTAAATCGGGTAACAGGAAACATTTAGTATTTGCCATTAGTTATTAGTTTTGTCCACAAGACAATGTCTGTATATTCTTTATAGAGCATCTGATATCACTTCCCGTTTTAGTTAACATATTCTATTGTATTTTTGTATTTGTAGTTGAATTGATGAGCGGTTTATAAGTGATTTCTTTAGAATAATACTTTATCTTGAAATCATGAACACCGAACTTGTAGTTGGCTTAAAACAATCAAATATATTAATTGATAGAACGTTTAGAGATTAAAAAAAAAACCCCTGAAATCTTCGTTTACTGTTACATGCAGTAGAATCGATTAGCTGGAGTTTCAAATCTGAAAATGTCGAGTTAAAAGTTTTTTTGGCCAGCAATCTTATTTTTTTTTTGTATCAACATGTCAAGTGGAAATCCACGTCAAATTACAGTCCATTTACATCGTGTTTAAGTACATAGACCAGAGTTTAGTAATAGTTCGATGATCTTAATACGGAATCAGCACAGATATATAAAAAAACCCCAATAACTAGAGCCAGAAGAGCAAGCGTGTCCTGTCCACGGATTGGATTTGAGAACGATACTTTAAAGGACTTCATCCATGTTCGTGAAGCAACGACCGCGAGTTTTACAAGATCTAGCCGTTGCTAGTCTGGTCAGCAATTCCCGAACTCATAGTGTGTGAAATAGCTTTATTTAACGTCCGCTTCCACCGAGGTGATATCGCAGACAAACGAACTCATAGCTACGCCATCTCCAATCAGAAACCTGGAAACCTTGACATTGAACGAACCTTGAACTCTGCAACTCGATTATCACAGGTAGACATTTTAGCTGGAAAGCGCGAGACTTGGTATTCGCGATGTTCGAGGAATCTGATAGGCTCACCAGCTGTTTGAGTAGCCAGTCGAAATTAGAGCCGAAATATGCAGTGTTTTACGTGAAAGGCTTGATAAGATGTACCGAGTTAAAGCGAGATCAAGCCTTTTTAATGAAGACTGACATCAGCAATTAAAAAAAACCCTTTCTACCATTAGAAATGGAATTATATGAGGTTTAGCGTGTGGTCAACAAATATTTCGGTCATTTTGAGACTAGCATATGTGATTTCGTTATGAGTTCAATGCCATTCTAGCCCCACCCAACGACCACCACGGCTCCATATCTACCTACATATAATGGTAAAATTAAACCAACCAAATACTTTACTCTTTAAACCTCCACTTTTTTATAATATTATGTATGAAGAACTATAAATTTGAACTTTCAATGATATTGTCAAGTGACGACGAGTAGTTGAAGTAAAAGTGTGTTTTCCACGATCTCTATTCATAATTTCCTTTTACCATATGACACCCACTGTATTTAAGTTTTTAAAAAAAAATCAGAACAGTGTATACATAAAATGTCATACTTTTGCGCTTTACTTTATATTTATAAATGCTGTCTGATATTTTGTATTATGGTTAGATTTTGTAGTTATTTGTCTTCATCGAGAAGAACTGATATTCAACACTCTTATAATAGTTAAACATGCATTATGCAAGAGCTAAATCGGCGTATTGCAGGTCTTTCTTTAGGCCTGAAATGTTTTCTAAATTATTAAATAGACATTAATTAACTGATCCAGGCCTTAATCAACTCTCGATGGCATCAGATTTCTCCGATATTAAATAGATTAGAATGGTTCAGCGATACTTTGATTTAATCAAATATGGAGGACCGAGACTTAGCTTCGATCAACCAGTACGATGGTTGAAATTATTGCACACGTCTGTCAAGCCTTCAAAGGCTAATATCTTGAATGAAATTTTGAAATTATTCATTCTACATCATCTACTTTCGAACTATTATAGCAAGAATGGCTAGTTCTTTATCTAAATCTTACATAATGTATCTTTAAATAGCTGGGGAGATTCGGTGCAGTGTAGGATTTCAGACAGCTGGGGTGGGTGCATAAACGTTTAGAATTTATGTAAATTGGTATTACAGGAAAAGAATGTGGGCAAAGCCGGACACAAAAACTTTTGAGTCAATTACCCTAAAAGAATATTTATATTTTATTTATGTAGTTGTTGGTCAAATCTTTGCAATACTATCTCGCTAATTATGCCACAAGCCACGAGAAAAACTTGTCCCACCGCAAGCCACACCACAAATATTTTTTAAATTATCACCTCTGCCTATTGACTACATTTTAAAATTAATAAGCATGTATCATATGATATAAAATGCGAAAAAATCATAATTCGGTTTCTTGGATAGGGTATGCGTATTTTTCTAGAACACTTGATACCACTTCTCGTGTATTTGGGATATTTCAGAACTTTGTGATATATATTGGTATCGGTTTTTAAAAACTAGATCTAATAAATTGTGTAAGGTGTCGTGCACGAGAAGTATGTCGGCTTATGAAACCCTGGTCTAGCCTATCGTTCCTTTAATAAGCTAGAAGAATGAAGAGTGTCGTGCACGATAAATATGTGTTCTCTTTCTTTCAGGAACACCCGCTACCAATTCTCATTTGTTTGATAAGTTTGTACATATATATCCACAAATTTTGTTGTACTTTTGTTTTCTTTGATGATGAAGGATAATGATAATCAACGAGGAATTAGTAATGTCGCCATGGAAATGAATGTAAATAATTTTCAATAAAATAACCTTAAACTTCCCTAGTTATCAAAAATCCAAGTACTGATCTACTTAGAATAAGGTTTTATAACCAGATCCCGTTAAACGCCTCGAAAACCACCAACATAATACATAAATTTGAAAGTTCAAACACCTATATCTCAGCAATGTAAGTTTGTATCAAATATTGCATACAGCCTGATATATTATAATACAAAAACATAATATGGAACACAATTACTATTTTAATTAAAGCGACGTTTCGTTGAGGGTTCTCTCAACGTTTGCACAATTACTATTTTAATTAAAGCGACGTTTCGTTGAGGGTTCTCTCAACCTTTCCTAAAGCGACGTTTGGTTGAGGGTTCCCTCAACGTTTGCTTTCCCTCAACGTAACGTTGAGAGAACCCTCAACGAAACGTCGCTTTAATTAAAATAGTAATTGTGTTTCATATTATGTTTTTGTATTACGTATGTCAA